TAGATATATTAATTATGTTTAAATTGAGAAATAAGCAAATCATTTCTGCTGAATTCTTAACGACATTCCCAAACTTTAACTGATTGATCTACGCTACCAGAGATGACATACGGATGCGCTTTGTGAAAATCTGTAATAAAATATTGTGAATTACAAAATTGAGTTTGTGCGAATGCAGCGTGTGTCACTTACCAATGGATGTGCAGAAATGCTGATGCGCATAGAGCGTCTTCATGCATCGCTTGTTGCGCAAATCCCAGACCCGAATGGTCTTGTCATCACTGGCTGATACCAGATATTTGCCACCGGGATGGAATGCCAAGCCCCTCACCCAATTGTCATGCCCGTTCAATGTGAGCAGGCACAGTCCAACGCTGACATCCCAAATGCGTATGGTTTTATCGCGTGAGCCAGATGCCAGGAATGGTCCCTGATGGTGACCCTTCTTGTTGTCAGCGCCGGCTGCCTCATTTATCGCTGATGCGGCAGCCTCTGGCGCCCATGCAATGCATTCCACCGTATGCTCATGATCGCGTAATTCAACCTAACGAATATATTTAAATTAGTTAGTCGCACAAATTTTCTTATTGCCTTGGAAGCCACATGAAGTTGTATTGGATCAACCACCCCAAAAACCAGTTGATTCGCTTCATTTCCGTTCTCCTTTGTAAGGATTCAATTTGGTTGCATGCTCACCTTACAGTCTTTTGAATTTGTCAACCAAACGCGTATTGTGTGATCATTTGAGCATGTGGCAAAGATGCTGCCTTCAATGTGCACGCGCACCATTCGCACCCACTCCCGATGCCCGGTATAAGTTTTTACACAGTACCTGGTAAATTAGATAAAAATAAATTAATATATGTATTACATATATATATATTAATACTGACCCTGTGGCCACCTCCCACATTTTGATGGTGCGGTCACGCGATGCGGATAGCACGTAGTCGCCGGCGGGTACAAAGGCCACCGAGGATACATTGTGATCGTGACCGTGCATGGTTTTCACACACTCGTAGCTTTGTTGAAAGTCCCACAGTTTAATGGACAAGTCAGCGCTGCAGGAGGCTATAGGGATAAGAAAGTGAATTGAAGATAAGAATAATTTATTTAAGTGCTTAAATTACCTAAAAGCTTGCCCTGCGCATCAAATGCCACATCTTGCACAGAGTCTGTGTGTCCTTTCAGACTACGCTCATATTCGCCAGTTTCGAAATCCCAAATTTTAATGGTGGCATCTTCTGAGGCCGAGACCATGAGTCCAAATATTGGATGAAATATAACCTGTATAAAATGTAATTATTGAACAAGCTCTACTCTGTTGATGCAAATGCTCTACTTACCCTCGTTATGCTGGCTCGATGTCCTGTTAGTGAGTATTTCTCTGGCGGCCTGGGTATCCATTCGCCGGGCGTACGTTTGTTCTTTGTGGGCGCACCCTCGATAACCTCCTTTTCAGCTTCGGTTAGCTTAGCCTCTAGGTCCATGACCTTCTTTTGCAGTCGTATGACCGATGTCCATTTCTTTTCTAATAGCCCGCCATACTTTTTTTCCGATTCTGTGCTGAGATCTGCCTCCTTACGAAAGGTCTCCAATGAATCAGCATAGCCATTTGAGCCCAAATAGTCGGCAATCGCTTGGTTACTAAAAATTTATATATAGACAATGTTATTGAGGCTGTTTCTGACTGTCTTCTGGTGGATTACTTACAGCTCCTCGCGCTGCCGCTGCGACAACACCATTTTCATGCTGTTCTTCAGTTTAGGCGAGCTTCAATTCTGTTGCTTAATGCCTCGATTTGTTGCTGCCGTCTTCTAGTGCACTGCTATTGAGGGAGGAAACAAAGAGAAACAACAATACAGACAAATGCTTCAAGCATTATACATGAATGACTGAACAGGAAATTGGTTCCACAAAAAATATGAAAAGGCAAGTTTCGCAAAGAGGCAAGTCACCCGCATAGTTATACCCTATACATACAGAAATTCGTAAACAAAGAGTATTTATACTAATCGACGAGGTATTTAATAGGTAAATCTGACCGAATATATATATGGTCTACACTCGAGAGAACCTAGATTTAATATTTAAAGATTTAGTATTATAAATTTCTCTCGCTTAATTTTCTCATTAAACAAGTACTTATATAATATATCGACCACTACAACTATATTTATCGGTCTCCACAGGGTATTTTAGAGTCAGACACTTCAAGCTGAGTATTAAATATTTAGCTTTTTGTTTTTGGCAATATTGCCCCATAGCGCCGCATCTTCGACATGCATACATTAATCTGCTCTTACTTCAATTCGACCTCCCTTTATCATCTTCCTCTTCTTCATTGTTTCACAGCGTGCTGCATGATGATCAACATAATTATCAACAGAGCCTCAGAAATTGTTTCGTTTGTGTGTTTCTGGCACACAAAAATATTTTCGGTTCATGTGGTCGCAATTACAGTGCGCATTGTCTGCAAATCTCTAAAGACCCAGCCAATCAGATTGCAGCAAATATGCAACCCTGTGCTTACTATTGACACATCGATAACTGCATTAACTCTATTCGAATAGAATAATCAAACAGCTTCCAAAATAGACAAAGCAACATTGGAAACGACTCGATGTTGCTGTAGTAGTTGCTTTAAGTCGTAAGCCATGTATAAAATAAGTACATGTTGTTGTTGGCTATGGCAAGAGCAATTCAATTAACTCAAGGTGGTCAACAATAGGCAACAGGCAATAACAAAACGCAGGTAGCACGCAATAAACCGACCAATCAAACTAAACGAATCTAAGCGAAAAAAAATCAACGAAAGCATAACGTGATTTGTTTCTCTTCATTTTTTCTAGATAAGCATTTGACGACACATTTGTGTATGCTTTCCACGTTGCCAAAGTCGCATAGCAAAGTTACAAGCGCTGACAAAGCCAATTAGCAACATCTAGCGGTAGTTCAAGCAACTTCTTATAAGTAAATAACGCAAAACGAAAGAGAAAGACAGACACACGAAAAAGTCAAAGCTTAGACTATTCACACATACACGAAGTTTATAAATATATATGTATATATATGCATACACATACTCGCAACAAGGAAATGACGTTTTCAGATTATTTTTGGACGCTTATCCATCACGAATAATATTTTACCGATTTTTGAACTAGCTGCTATAGCGGAGGGCAGCATATCTGTCTATATACTCTTTACTGTAAAAAAAACTAGCCAAACGAGTTCAAGCGATGAAATCTGCTTTTTTTTTTTTTGCAACGACGACGGCATTGAAACTAGGCATGAGTCACGCGCGTTTTGAACACATTGCGAGAGCAAAGTCAGCCTTTATC